TCAAGGTCTTTATGTACTTGTTTATGTTGAATCGTGACTAATTCTCTAAGAGTTTAATCTTATTCTTCTCTGTATCCTCAGAGCCGAGTCCAGTGCCTGGCAGAGTTTCTCTATGCCCTCTTTACAGTGTCATTGTTAACATTAAATGAGATCGCTTTTACTAAATTGCTTGGCCTTGGCACATCTTATTTTTCTGCATCCAACAGCGGTGTAAGCTATAGCAAATTTTATTTATTTAGAGTGTTTCTTTATTTTTAGAATCGTCTAAAAGAAATTGAACACAATCTCTCTAAAATAATGAGACTTGACAATGAAATTAAAGCCTTGGATAGCCGAAAGAAGCAAATGGAGAAGGATAATAGTGAACTAGAACAGAAAATGGAAAAGGTTTGTAGTAGTAGAATTTTGTTTTACTTCAGAATTTCGGGATTATCGTGAACTTTATTTGAATCAGTTTTGCCACCCACATTTTGGAAAAAAACAAGTACAAATCTTGATGCTTGTGCTGCTTCTCTGTATATGTTACAATGAAGGGTGTTGAGTAAGATTTGGTACCTCAAAGTGATCATATCTTCCTATATTTATAACATTAAAGCTTTTTATTTTGGTGTTACCTAGGTTTTTCAAGGAACTGATGAGCAACTAAATGACTTATATCACAATCACCAGAGAACAGTAAGAGATAAAGAAAGGAGATTGGTAGACTGTCAGCGTGAATTGGAAAAATTAAATAAAGAATCTAGGCTTCTCAATCAAGAAAAATCAGAGCTACTTATTGAACAGGGTAGGACAAAGTGTTGGTCTTTTTTCCTTTTATAATATATATTTTCTAGATGAATGAAGTATCTCTTAGGAATTCTGCTGAGTGGAAAAAAAGCAAATCTCAAAAGGTTATATACAGTATGTTTTCATTTACATAATATTTTTGAAATGTCAAAATTTATTTTAGAAATGGTGGGCAAATTAGTGATTGCTAGGGATACCGGGTAGGAGAAGGGGCAAGAGGATGTGATTATGGTTGTAAAAGAACAAGAGAGTTCTTGTGACATTGGAATCGTTCAGTATCTTGACTGTTGTAGATAGCTATATGAACCCACACAGGTAATAAAATTCTATAGAACTTAATACACACACATGCACGAATGAGTACAAGTAAAATTGAGGAAATTTGACTAAGATCAAGGAATTATATCAATGTCAGCATCCCAGTTGCGATCTTATTACTATAGTTTTGCAAAAGCTGCCATTGGGGGAAACTGGGCAGAGTATATGTTAGGGTGGGAGCCCGTAGCGTGGGATGAGAAAGAATCTCAACACAATGATTAGGACAGGTTTAGAGAAAAAGTTTATTTTACTTTCCAAAGGAGGAAAGGGCATGGCAGGAAAAAAGGAAACAAAGTGCCAGCCCCAAGGGTAAGGGGTTTGGGATTTTTACTGGGATAAAGGGAAAAGAAAAGGAAAGAATAGTTACTGCTGCCAACTGATAGCAGAAGACAGCTGTGAAGTGGCTGCTTTTGTGTTTCCTGTCTTTCCCTCTGCGAGGCTGGTTTATCCTGCTCCCTGGCATCTGGGCTGGTATGAGCTGGGAGAGGGTCATCCTCCTTCTGTTTAGTTCTTTCAAGTGCTGTAAAAACAAACTCTTAAAGACCACAAGTTAAACCACAGGTGGTTAATCTTAAAGACAATGAGTTAAGCCACAGGTGGTTAATCAAACAAAGGGGCAGTTGTATGCTGTGGTCATTTTTTTTTCCTATTAGTTTATTTTTCTCCATTAGTTTATTAGCAGTGCTGTCCTTTCAGTATGGGAGAGATTATGTCGTATTATTTTTTGCAACTGTATGTGAATTTACAGTTACTCAACTTTTTAAAAACCAGCTGGAAAAAAATAATTATTAGGTTGGCTTTTTTAAAGGTCGCCTACAGCTACAAGCAGATCGCCATCAGGAACATATCCGAGCTAGAGATTCGTCAATTCAGTCATTGGCAACACAGCTAGAATTGGATGGCTTTGAGCGTGGACCATTCAATGAAAGACAAATTAAAAATTTTCACAGACTTGTGAGAGAGAGACAAGAAAGGGAGACAGAAACTGCCAAGCAGCTGATGGTAAATATTTTGAAATACAATATTTGTTATTTTCTTTTATCTGTGTGAGATTCTCTACTTGAATTGTTTTAATTTTTGGATAGACCCTATTTTGGCATATGTTTGT